ATAACTGAGTTGGATGACGTCATACACTACCGATTAAAACTACTGGAGTTTCGTTATGTGTAACTTTGTTTCATGCTAGCCTATGAATGGCCGTTGTTGAGCAGCTGTGCAGCGCACAGCTGAACTGGCGAATTAATAAGACTTTTGTGAGTGGTTAACACGAAGGTGTGTTTCAGAGCTAGAAGACGCCGCGAGCGAGAAGGGACTCTTGCAGGTGTTTCCCATGAAGAGGGCCTCAGCAGTGATGACGATGAACCAACCAGCCAACAACTTGCTGATCAACAGGCCGCAGGTACGACTAAGCTTCATTGCGCCGTCATTCATTTCAGAACGCCACTCATTCCTAACTAGATATATCTGTTTTTTTTTCTCCAAAGCGACGCAGGAATGCTGAACCTAACATTGGACTTGTCAAAGACACGAATGTCCTTTCAACCATACACGATGACTAAAATGACTGCTTTCCCCTTAAAAAAGGGTCGTCTTCAAAAAAAGCTGAAAACCTAATCAAATTAGCGGAGCGAACTGCCATGCATATACGTGGCTCTTCGATTGTATCAAATGAATATACTTCTAGCCGAAATCGACACTGCCCTTAACATGGTGTTCGTGGATGCTTTGGACGACTACTCCCACCTTCGGAAAGTTTTGGACAGGTTCGTTCGCTCGTTTTTCTGAAGCGCAAGGTTCATGCTCCTATTTCTGATTTGGTAACAGGATGATTGATTGGTTTGCGGTGGATCAAATTGCCTTCCAAGACGCGTACATTGTACTATGCATTCCGAAATTAGCTTCTCCATATGTAAGAATACAGCTGATTACTGCTGACATTCTCAAAGTAGGTTATTGTGTTTTCTTATAGTTGTCGTTGTGTAATTGAAAAAGTTCATTTAGCGTGACGACTTTATTCTGTCCTCAATGCCATGGTACGTTGATTGCGTCAGAGCTATACAGGAGAACGGTGATGTTGACCCAAAGCACGAAGTGCTTACTGGGTTGATTCCGTCAATAATTGAAAAAGTTGTTCTTCCTTACCTAACAGGTGCGCTCCAATGTTTTTGTTATCCTTTTGTCTCTGAAAAGTATTAATAGAACATCCCCCGTCTCGCACTCGTCTTTCTCGTTTTTTTTTGGTGTTCTGTGTGCCCAAGGACTTATGAAGAAGTCTTCCTTGGTCAAAGGATTCAGCGCTCGTTTTTCCTTGACTATTTGTTGTTGTTTAGATGTAGTTAACGTTGAATGGGAACCGATGTCTCTAAAGCAGTCGAAGCGACTTGGAGCAGTTTTGAGTGGTTTGTCCGATTATCCGAAGATGAACGTCGACGAGAGCAAGTCGTTTGCAATTCTGGCGGAAGCTGTGAAGGCGAAAATCACATCAGCGATTGATGACGATCTCTTTGTACCAATCTATTCGAAACAGTGAGTCACAGCTGAACCTCAGTTCTTTTATCATGGCACCAGCAAAATTGCTCACGATTTAAGGTCCATTAAGAACCCAGCAACGGGATGTGCAGCTTTCTTAGACAGGCAGTACTGGGCTGCAATCAAGGTATCCACTTATCTTTGAAAAGTATTTCCGATGTTAATCAGATGCTGGTTATGTAAAGGCCCAAGAGTTTTATGCCTAATCACTTTTGTTTTCTTGGTATAAGAGTGACTGTGGACCGTTTAGTTTCTGCATGGAGGTGTGTAGTTCATGTATTTTCACTGTAGCAGTGGCTTCTGGGCATATGCTTCATTCAGCAAAGTCCTACCTGGGACTACCGACATCGAGTTCACACCTCAAGCTCGTATTAATGTTCGTTAAGAATCATGCTACCCCCGGATTCGAATGCATACCGTACAGTCACCTCTTAGGACGGTACTCTCCACGTGCGAGGTGAATTAGTCCGCGAATGGAGTAGCGTGCCTTTATCCTGCTCAAGATTGAACGGAAACGAGATTGAAGGGTTGTGATAGCGGGCTGCCGTCTGCAGGCTCCGCCCGCGCAGTCCTCACTATGCAGACTTACACCGACAACAAGGTCCGCAGCTAAACCTTCAGTCAGCGGTAAAGAACAACCAGAAGTGGGAGAGCGTAAATAGGTAGCGCGTTCGGCTATGATCAACCGTATTGCTGGCCGAGCGGCAGTGCGTGCGGAGTTTGGAGACGGCACTTGGTATCACTACTCCGTTCCCCTACTTTCTTGACCGGAGAAAGTGGCACGCTACTGCAGCTGCGGATCCATTCACCCCACACATGGCAATAAACAGGACCCACGGAGGTGAGTGTACAGTCTGTTTTAACACGACGGTAAACTTGCCATTTGTAGGGAGTGTAGCAATAGCATAGTTCTTAGGGGTGTCATTTGCAATCGGTAATACGAATATCCTTTGTATAAAGGATTCTACTGGCCCTCTTTTTACGCTGCTTCTGATAAGCTCTTTGTTGGTCAAGTTACAGGTTTACTAAACATGAGCGGCTACATTTACCGACTTTCTGCAGTTAACTGGTTACTTTAGCTTATCAGAGGACTACGATCGTTCTCGTCATTCCTTAATCCAGCCACACGGTTGGAACTGTGTTAGATGGCGTTATCAATCGGGTTTGCGTGGTAGCTTTAGAAACAGGACTTTTGGATGACATCACCTGCGAACGTAAGGTCTGTATTTTGGGTGATTCCTTCCGGTGTTTACCGTTATATAGTCTTTCTCCGTGTTTTCAGGTGAAGGCACTAATAGCTGAAATTCCTGATGATATGATTGAAAGCGCTAAATCGGATTCATTCCGAAATCTCATACGATGTCTGGGACGGGTTGTAGAGGAACAGAAGACAGCAGGAAGGTAATCTTCCTTTTGATATTGATTTTGAACTATTATTCCTATGCTTCCAATGGGTTTATTTCGAAAAATTCTAGAATTTTCTATCGAGACGTGCGGAAATATTTGGAGAAACTGCAAAAGAAGGCCGACGAAAGTGATAAGCAGAGCTGAATTCCGTTTATGCTTATGTCGTGCAGTTGTGGAAAGAAACGAATAAATTATCAACATCTTTCTTCTGTTTTTGCTAGTTGATCGCTTTCATGCGTGTTCATATACCTACAGATGTATGAATGCTGTCATGAGGTCAAATGAGTCACCCTGCTTCAGATGAATTGGCAACGCATGAATATAGTGATTGATCGCTACGAAAGGTTGGCGACTAGGTCAATTACGTGATTTGCGCAAACTTCAGAAAATGGCTATGAATCCTAATACTGATTCGGCATCTGTCAGAAATCAGGTATTTTTTTAATGTTTTACCTAGAGAAAAGGCGAAATCAGAGGCGAAAACCAGACTAGTGTAAGTGTTGAATATCAGGGAAGTGTATGATGCATGCAAAGTGTTCCTCTTGGTTAGGCTATGTGAGGATCTCCGAACTCACAAATTCAGTCATGCCCATATAGGGCGGTTGATTCCGTTGCTCAGTTTCCGTGCAAGCGCACAGGAAGAGAGAACCTAGGCTGGGCTGCTTCGTTGTTTTTTACCTCCACTTATCATTCGTTCGATTTTTTTGACCAGTACAGTCGCAGGTTGCGCTACAGGCAACAGACAGCAATACGGGAGAGCATCCTCTGTAGAGTGAGGCCTTTTTGTTCACCGGAATCATCAGGACGTTCCATATTCTTATCCAAAGAACAAGTCCCATCACCGAACACTGGTAAATTAGTTGGCATACTGATTGTTGCTGGTAGAATCGATTTAAAAATAAATGAAGGCAGTACGATGGTCCGTAGTGGGTCAACAAACTCAGTGGTTTTCTTCATTAGGAATTGTTAACGCATTCGTGTCAGTGCCCCCTATGGATGTCAGAGCAGCCCGTCAGGGGTCGTTCTTAGTCGTGTGTTTATTCGTTTTTGGCTTTCATAGGAATTTTTCCAGGATTAGAAATTCTTTCCCGCTCGAGGCGAATCTTCTTTGGGGGAAGAGGGGAAAATTTTTTGGAATACTGAGAAAGGTGGGAGGGTGTTGGGAAATCTAGGAAGGTGATAGGTACGGTGGGAAGAGGGATCGTCATCACACGGCCATACCACACATCACGATGCTGCACCTTGTGTCAGGGACACATGCCTATCACTTGAGGTTATTGCTAGCTCCTTGGTTGTTTCTGGAATAATCGAGTTAATTAGTGGGAAATGTGAGCCTGATGACTGGTTGACGTTTTACGTTTTATGTGTTTCTTGTTATGTTATAGAGCGATCTTATTATTAGACATTCAGGTAACGTCTTTTTAGATAGACCAAATAGACCAGCAACTGCAGTCAAGTCTTTCTCAGCTGCTCAGTGAACGAGGAAATCTTATTCCGGCAGAACAGGAACATTTTGACGAGCGAACGGAGCAAATAAGGTGCGTCTTACAGTCGGTAATATTGAAAAAAATTATACTGCAGCAGTGGGTCATGGTACCACTATTTTTCTCTAGGAATAGTAACTAGGTTATTTTTCTATTCAGAAAGCAAATACAAACAGCTATTCGTGTGACGCAGTCGCTTCCTCCGTTGACGTCGAAAAACCCGTTTTTGGAAGGAGGATTCCGATGAAACCAATCCGTATGAAGCAGAGAGTAAACGGTTAGCAATCTGGTTGCTTCGTTTTCCGGTAGTTTTGTATGGTTTGTTAAGTGACTTTTTTGAAACTATTGTGAATAATTATTTTTCTTTAGGTACCTACAAGAGAGTAGCGCACGTATGCTGGAGATGAAGGCAAAAGCTGAGGAGGCGCGAATGACCGCCGAAGCAACTGCCAAGTTAAACAAGGTAATTTTCGATTGTAGATCCCTGCCGACATGCCATTTTTCGGGTTCAGTTCGGTATTGTTACAGGATATGCGAGATTTGGAAGATATCTTTGCTGAATTAGCTACGATAGTTCACGAACAACATGAGATTGTAGATTCAATTGAGGTATGCTTTCAATCAGCATTTTTTCGGTCGATTTTGCAGATATACTCAATATAATCTCGTTTAAAATTCTCTTAAGGAGCATGTTGAACGGGCAACTCATGATGTCCGCCATGGAAATGAACAGCTGAAGAAAGCAATTAGGCATAAGACGAACCAGGTATAAAATAATAATTGAATTCGGACAGTGAATGAATTCCTTTTAAGGAAGGCATCGAATGGTTCTTTTACGTCGAGTGCTAGGTTTTCGCCAAATGTGTTCTTTTTGCTCATTTTTAGCCCCTTACGGCTTCTATAATACTCTACGCCTCGAAAGAGAATGTGAGAATCGGCTACTCGACGTTTCCGGTAGAATGTGCGCCACAAATGGTGGACATGATAGCATGCAATCGACCCGATCTGCTAATTTTCATAGTCTCCCATGTCAGTGGATCGTTGCGTATACTTCCCTTGGGCGAACATCGATTCATCCATTCTTCTCTTTTCGCGGGTCTCAAACTGCAAATTACTGGGATTGTACCGCATCTTACATTGATCTTCCCCGAACTTTGGAGTACCCACGGTCAACCTACCAGAATAATTGTGTGCGAGGGTGTGTCTGCAAGGACTTTTTCTATTACGACCTATTGTCGATGAACTGACCTAGAAAAGAAATTGCTGTACGACTTGCCAACCGCTGCACGAACTTAAGCTCAACATCACCAAGAGAGTGCCCACTGCAACTACTTCGTCAGTCATCGTCGACAGGACATCCCTACTAGGATGAAGTTCCTGTACTTCGGATCCACGCTAGCTGCGGATGCGGGTATCAAGGCTGGCACAACTGCCGAGATCATTTTACAAATAGAAAACTTTCACTGGTATTCTCAGCAACAACAGAATGTTGTTACGGGTGAAGTCCAAGATTAGCACGTCAGTCATGGCACCATTCGCCATCTGTAGAGCCGAGACGTCAGTTGATGGCTAAGGAAACAAGAACCTTCGGCGTTATAGAAAGAAGAGTGCTACGCTGTGGGCTGTGAGAAACACGGTTCAGTCCATCCAACATGAATCCGTCCGCGGCAAGGTAAGGCTAGGGACCAGCCGATTGCCGATTCCCTTACCCCATGTCTCGTCTACGCTGGTATGGTCGTGTTTGACTAAAGTCTCCTGTTGTTTGCCAGTCAGCTGACAAGGTGAGCGTTTATTTCTCAGTGAACGTCCGCACAGAATGTGGTGGCCAACGTTCTCATTATATTCGTGATTGCTTCTGGTCTCTCCGCGGCCATTACGTGGAACCGGACCGTTGAGAAACCTTGGTTGAAAAAAAGCGCACATCAGAACCTTGGCGCGAGAATGCTAGGGAAAAGAGAAGGGATAGATCCTCTCAAGGGCTTGCTGTCTTCTCACAACATCTACTGGGTCGCAGTAGCTGCTCCGGGGCAGCAGGTTTCCTGGTCAGGTCATTCAGCCTCACTGGGTTTTCGCCGCTCGCTGGGAGAACTACTGCTGATGATGCCAAGGCCTATTTGGAATGCGAATGACCAGTCTATGAAGAGTTCATCAGTTGTTTATGATTTATCACTTAATTGATGCCGTATATTTAAGACTCTCGTTTCAAAAAGGTTCCAGCTTTGTACGATGTGCTATGTGTGCATTTAGGAATTTCTTCGACCCCATACATCTTTAAGAGCAGTGATTTAGAAACTCAGTTGATAAAAACAATGCAGAAGGATCAGTGTAACTTTACTAGATATATTTACGGTGTATACGCTTGCGGATTGATGGTAACCTGACGACAGGAGACTTGCTCGATTCATTCGCCGCACCATTATAATAAATCATAACATTGTTAGAGATTACTCAGCTTTCCTTGTTCTTGTTGCTGAAGACACTTTTTTCAGACTACGGTTGCTGCTGCTGTCGTTGGGGGACTTGCTGTAGGTGGTCCCGTCGGAGTGGCTGCTGGTTCAGCTGTGGCTGGTATAGCTGCCGGTATTGGAGGACTTGTGGCAGGTTTGTGTTTGCCCCTTCCAAATTGTTTCATTTTCCATTCGTTACGCTGCTCTGCCTATACTGTGATACTTGGATTTTTTATGGACATATGCTTCACCATTTCAGGTATCTATGGAGGAAAATGGTTTAGAAATACTGTAAGAAGAGATTGCGATGTGAACAATTGAGCTCTTCTAGTCGCTATTCCCTGTTGCGTCAATGTGCATTCCATGTTATCCTGCTGTGATTTGTACATAACATCTGTACAAATGTATACTTCCCATAGTTTTTATTTCCAATTCATTATTTCACTGTGATTCATTATTAATTTCTTCACTGTATTACGCGCTAATAATCTGGTCACATTTCATTGCTTTCATGTGCGGTCATTTTTGAATGATATGGAATTGAATTTTCTTGTGATACTAGCACAATGTGTTCCATAAAAAAGGCTTATTAAATATTTCGAGCTAGTTCTGCTTTTTGATTTTTAGGTTCTGCCTATTTGAGAGCTGGTATGCTGCAATCTTTGAGTTTTGAAAGACTCTTACCAGAATAAGTCTTTCTCTGCTTTATACTGTTGCTAAAGTTTGCTAGGTAGCATTGGAATAAAGTTTTTTTTTCTAGAACTTCTTCAAAACTGAACACGTTGCTTGTCATGAGGCGATTTTTCCATCAGTATTGGTTTTTCGTGCATGGGCCTTCCCTTTTTTCGAAAACATTGTGCTTTTTAGGTTCCCTCATAAATGGCGGTTCTAATAGAGACCACTATGGGTGACATTGTTATCGATGTTTACGTAAGAGAAAGACCAAAGTGTAGGTTTTGCGCAGCTAATGATCGATCTCTCAACATTATGATAGACATCGTGGTTTAGGCTCGCTCAACTTCATTAAATTGTGTAAGATGAAATATTATAACCTGTGTCAGTTCCATACTATTGAGGTGAGCTTGTTTTTACATTAAGTTTTACTCTTTTTTTTACGGAGGTTAGTGTATGTGCGGGGGGGGGATGTGGCAAGACTTGTTTAGACTGTGGTCCTGCGTGTTCCTTAGGCAGCGTTCATACTTCGCGATGACTCTCGTCGACGCGCTACAGTTGCAAGCTCTGATATAGATGCGAAAGCGGCTGCAGGCGGGAGTCGATTGGCCCCAGCTCTTATGTATCGAGATAGTATGGGGCGTTGCCCAATCACGCTGTCTTGTATCCATCTGACGCTAGGGTTTTAGGATAGTATAGGAAACTGGTAGAGTATCACAGTAGGTGGCGCTAGCGCCTCCCCTTCTTTTATACTACATTCTCAAAATGGTGCCGATCAGTTCCTGTCGGCGGCGCGTTATAGCGGAGTCCGAACGCTGGCTCCAGGCTGAGCCAAGGCGGTCTTGATTACTATCTTGGTGAGAGCGGCGAGTTGCCCCTTCCGCAATTACGCTAGCGCCCTTTGCTGTTACTAGAAGTTAGAAATGAGGACAAGTGAATGATGTGAAAAGAAGTGATCCAACTGAGCGATGCTTCCTTATGAGAAAACTTTTTTCCAGCAAAACTATATCGCTCAGACGGGTGATCCTACAGGAACTGGTAGAGGAGGAGAATCAATATTTATGTGAGTATTTAAGCAGTTCAGGAGCTAGATATGATATTAAGAGCGGAAGAAACGCAACAGGAGAGACTGTGTAGCGACATATTGTCATCATAGACGCAAACCGCAAGATCAGTGTGCTACTAAATTTAGTTAAAACTGACGAATCCCAGCAATGTGCTGGAATTTCCTCGATTTTATAGTTTCTGGCACAAGGCTTGAGAAATTGTTGGAAATTTTCCTTTTCAGGTCTTTATATGGAGAGCAAGCGCGGTACTTTGAGCGAGAGGACCTTCCAAAAATGAAACATACAAGAATGGGTAAGACTTCACACCGTCACCTTGTAAAACAAGAATTCAATGCTGAAAAGGCTGTTTGTGCCATAAGAGTTTGTGTGTTTCGTTGAGACTACCAACTTTGCTCACAGGTGTCGTTTCTTTTGTAAATAATGGCAATAATATGCTGGGAAGTCAGTTCTTCATTACTTTGGGGGAAAAGTAAGTTCAGTATTTTCTATAATTTTGCCTTAGTATTCCTTTCTCAAAATGCTTGTTCATATCGTTGCTATTATCGATTGGTTTCCTTTAAAGTTTGGACTACCTCGACGACAAGCACACAATTTTCGGTCAAGTTACAGAAGGGATAGATACACTAGAAAAGATGAACGAACAACTGTGTGACGGTGATCATAAGCCCTACAGGGATATCCGGTACGTGGTCCTGTTTCAAATCCCTGGGAGTTTATTAAATCTAAAGCCGTGTTTTAAGGATTGCTCACACTATCGTATTAGATGATCCGTTCGAAGATCCACCTCGGCTTGAATACCCTCGCAGATCTCCTTCGCCTACTTTTGAAATGCTCGTGCAGGTGGCTTAACCACTATACATCTTGCCTGGGCCTTAGGTAGAGCATGTTTTATTTCAGACGAATAAAATAGCACTTGATGAGAATGTGGACGACTTTGAAGGAAAAACTGCCGAAGAAGTAGCTGAGGAAATTAAGAAACGTGATATGGCGGAACAGGCGCAGATTCTTGAAATGGTAAGTGATATCTTCGCACTAGTGGGTGAGGTACTTTCGTTGAGTATATTTGCTTTTTCTGTCTGTTGCCTTTAAGGTCAGGTGACGTAACGCACTGATGAATGACGCCACAGACAATGTTTTCGTTTTGTGTGTAAGGTTGAATCCTGTGACTACTGATGTGAGGATTTGGAAATCATATTCAGTAGATTTGGGAAGATCATCAAATGCGAGGTACGTTCTGATGAAGCACCGTGATCGCATCGAGCTGATACCCTGAAGCAAAAGTTTACTTTTTTGCTAGATATTCTATAAACTGCATTTCTAGGTGATACGTGATCGGAGAACGCAGCAATCACTGCAGTATGCATTTATTGAATTTGATGATGTGAGTTTTACATTGTTTTACATTAGTTTCTGTTTTTTCCTTCTGATGTACTTCAACAGGAGTCCTGTGGGGACTAAGCAATTGTGGGTGCTGGAAACGTCGCGCGTAATCAATTTGACAACTGAAGTAGCTTACGCGGTGTTTCCATTCCTACTTGCTTGCTTTGAAGGCACACTCTGCTACTGCAAGTAGTGGCTGATGGGGTTCGACAAGCATTTGGTTTGCTAATCGTCAACAGTTAAAAAGAACCTTGTTTGGGTAGGTAATGACAGCTCCTGTATTCCAAAGTTTTACTGGTAACGTTTCGGGCCTGAGCCCTTCTTCAGATCTACTGAAAGCTAGTGTTTATACAACATACACCTATAGAAAAACATTGTAGAATAGTAACAGATGCATCCTACCGAAACAAATTGTCCTACGATCTTGGTAGGCAGGACGGAGGGGATGGCCAGCTCACAAGGGCATTAGCGAATAAATGGGGAAGAGGGTTGCGAGGGAGCTAAATAAAAGACGGATAGGGAGTGATTTCCGTAAAGTCACGAGTGTAAAACTTTGGAATACAAGAGCTGTCATTACATACCCGAACAAAGTTTGGAAGAATGAGGCTCAGGGAGGAACTGAGGGGGTCATCGTACTCCCTCAGTTGAAAAGGACGTTGAAAAAGCCGTTGATTCGCCTCGAATGAGGCCTGTTTTGTCTTCAGTATTAGATTGACATGCGATGAACGGAAGAACGGACACGCTCGGCAGCGCAGCGACAGCCCATGTAGTCATGGGCGACGCATACAGTGGCATAAGCAATGAAGGTGTACAACTATATGTCATGCGTGCAGCCAGACCTTTCTACGCAACTGCTAGTGGCACAGCGCGGATACGCTCTCTATGGCAATAGGAATTTCTTACTGGATAATTGTGAAATGTGTCTACCCTCAACAGAGTAGTCTAAAATGAGCCGGCATTCATTCGCAAGATAAGAATCTTGCTTTGCGCAGAACAGCAATTTTTCTATCCGTGTATTCTTGTGAGTTTTTGTGCGCTCACCACTGCCCTGGGAGACGGCCAAAACAATCGTAATTTGCCGGTCGTCGTGCGCGGCGTCTCGTGCGGCAGTGCGCGGCGCATTCTTGATGTGCATCCGTGTCGAATGCAGCAGCGAGACCCATAAGATTTCATGCAGGAGTAGGGCTCCATAAGAGGCAATGTGAGCAATAATATGAATGAATAAATATGAATATGAACAATATGAGTTCTCTGACCCTTTTCCATCCGAACAGGCAAGACAACTCGTCTGTAGGGCGCGGCCGTCGCTCACCACGCCCACAGAGAGGCAAATTACGATGTATTGTCACATACCGCTGTCTCCTGCTTCTGAGAGTAGATAAATTTGGCCATCTCGAGTAGAATTTGAAGGATGGAAAATCTTAGCGTGATGTTTTGTATGAATACATCTATGATGAGTTTTTGTTTAGCCGAAAAGCTGTGAGCAGGCATTTTTTAAAAAATAGTTTTTGTTTAGCCGAAAAGCTGTGAGCAGGCATTTTTTAAAATGGACAACGTGCTTATTGATGACAGACGAATCCATGTAGACTTCTCACAGTCAGTGGCAAAGTTACATCAGGGCTATAAAGGTAAGTCTGCGATCAATCTCGAAAGGTCTTCAAGTGCACGTGGAATACTTTCAGAAGGAAAAGCTCAGCGTTACGATGCAGATGAGGAGGAGAAAAGAAGTCAGAAGGTAATTTGTTCAATTGAATTTCGAAAAAAAATCGTATACCCACCATAATACTTTTAGCCGAGGCGATCACCTGTCAGGAAGAATATGTCCCCAAGAAGAAATGGAAACGAGGAACGGCGGACTGAGAAGCATCGTAGCAGCAAAAGATCTCCCGAAATAAAACGAGAAACTGTTCCGGAAAAGAAGCGTCGCGATAGATCCCGGAGTAGAGATGATCTGCCACAGAAATATCGACGTCAGAGAAGTCGTGAAAGATCTAGTGGAAGGCGATCTCGCAGCAAAGAGCGAGCACATCGTGATAGCAAAGACACCACAAGGAGTAAGGAGAAGCTTCGATCGAGGGAGAACAGAGATAGGTACGATAGTCGAGAAAGGCAACGTGTAAACAAGAAGGAAAGACCAAGTAGTCGCGAAAGGCGAAGGAGACGTTCAGAAAGCGGATCAACCAGTCCAGAAAAATCCAAAAAGCGGGAACGATCTCGGTCGCCAGGAAGGAAAAAGCATCGCAAGTGAATAATTTTGTTATTATTACCGTGACTGTTCATTGATCCTCTACAATGGTCTCGCTCAGGTGTTTCTTTGTATGTAAATGAATATGAAAAATAGAAATGGTAAAGCAGAAGCAGGGCGAATTCCTGGTCTAGGGTTCCAACCGAGACCTTAGGTTGTTGCCTTGAGTGTATGAACGACGATTAGGCAGCGTTCAGACTTCGCGAAGGCAGCGCCTCGGTCGCGCGTTCGGCGCGATCGATGCGCATGCTTTTCACTGTATTTCAATGCCTTACGTTAGTCTGTGTGACTTCTGTACGACAGTGTTTTGTGGGAGTGTAGTTCACGAGATTAAGTCGCGGCATCGTGTGCATACCCCATTATCAATATTATGCCCTTTTTCTAGTTGACTCGCAGCTTTGACAGATGAGTTGAAGTTATGGCCCTGTACCGTTTATTTCGCGGTTCTATTTCTGATAACTTCGTCAGCCAGCTCAGTTTTTTTCGTTTCATTTTTGATGATGTCGGATAACCATAACTAACGTTCGTTTGTAATTACTCTCGAAATCTCTGAGAAGCAGCAGGCGTGGCTGCGTACCTGAACTGAACGTGGCGTAGGCTGAGCTTTTCGTGAAATTGATTTTGGGGCAGTCGCAATCATGTCTTTGTAACACAAAACTAGATGACTTTTGTCTCAAATTGGAAATCCCACGAGTAACACACCGTAATCCATGTTCATTAATTGATCTTCAAATTTGAAATATAGTTGGAATGGAAGTCTTGTCACTTTGAGGACTTTTTTTCTTTTTTTATTTTCCTAAACTCAGCATACAGTGGGAATTAGTCAACAATATGCTCGTCATAGTTAGCCACTATATGCAGTGCTTACCTGATGACAGGTGAGCCTTTCCCTCCTCCCAGAACTAAGGAGGCTGCGAGTAGAGTAAGTCAGCGGCCTTTCGACTGATGTCATCAAAGTTGCTGAAAGTTTTCTTAGCTAAGAAAGCCCTAAGGAGGCGGAGCAGGTAGCAGTCTTAGGGGACTACGTCAGGAGAATATGATAAGCGGGGACTGGTCTCCCAGCCTTGCTCCTCAATTTGGTAGGTCTTCATAGCAGGTATGGGGGTCTCAAGTACTACGAAAGAGGTGCCCCGAAGCTAGTCTCGGTAAGTTTTCTCGGACGATTTCCACCATTTTCAAA